GGCGAGAGGCAGGGAGCGCGAAAAACTCCACTAACAGTTATGCGGCTGGCAGTGACAAAATGGCTGCCCAAAGACCGTGGGGAGTGCAAGACTCCACAAAGAGAAGCCGCTGTTTAAAACGCAGGGCTCCACCGGCAAAGCCGGTGATTTTGAGCCACCCACGGGAGCGGAAAGCTCCACCAACGTACAGAAACGTACCAGTTCGATGAAAGGATGGAGTGGCAGAATGGCTTCAACGAGACCTCAGAATTGTAATCTGAGGCTTCCTGAGGTAAAAAGGTTCACAGAATGTCCAGCAAACAAAAGAATAGCCAAGTACGGACATCCAAGGTCAAATACGAAGAATCAGCTATGAAAGAAAACAGACTAACTCTGAAAGCTGTCGGAGCTAGCTATCCACAAACTGCCACCGTAAAGGTGGAAGCGCTAGACTCCACATTATTGTTACTCCGAACCGGAGGAAGAGATCCCCATAATATCAGATGACTCAACAATAGTGGGGATGAGTGTTCTGCCCCAGCTACAGACCCCAAAGAACGCAGCACACAGAAAGTCTGTTCAAACCTTAGTTTACTGAATAAACCAGTCTTTTACAACAACGGCTGTTAATTAATTGCATTGACAGCCGCCAAGAATTCAAAAAATAATAACTGAAAGCTTATTATGGTTGGCAGAATGCCCAAAAGCAATTCGCAGGAAGCTGATAAGATAAGCAAGACAAGACACGAAGTTATGTGAACTAAGTTGTTCCCTGCAAATTGCTTCAGTCGGCGTTCCTCCTTCAATAGGCTAAGGAAGTGTCCAATTAGCCCCAAGCCTTACTCTCAAGGAGACCTCCTCCTAAGGACTGCTGAAAGGACTGTGTTGTAAAGAGGAGACAGATGATCTCGTATCCCTCCCCCTTTGTTGAGAGAGGGCTGTTCAATTTTGACATAAATGGCCTCTTTGACCCCTCTTTCAAACCAATCTCCAAGGGGCCTCAGCGACTCTCTAAAAAGGATGCAAATGACCAGCTGTCTGCAAGGAGTATAAATCCTTCTGTTCCCCACCATTGGGTCAGAGCTGAAGAAGCTTCTTGGATGAGAAGTGAAACGTCTTCAAAGAAAAAAAACCAAGAAAGTCCAGTTGCCTCTTGAAAAAGCACCTTTGGGACAACCATGACCTGGATGGCTGAGAATCTCCATAGACTGAGGATTTGATGGTCTTCGTTCTAAATGTCTTCCTGGGATTCTTAGCGGGGTGGAAGATTTACTTTGATTTCCACCTGCGCATCGGGTGCAATCTTCATCGGAAGAGATGGAGCCCCAGGCTCTGAATCTATTGCAAGACAGGTAATTGCTTTTCCCCTTCTTTACACCATTTTTAAATTAAAAAGAAAAGAAAAAAAGAGAAGAAAAAGAACCGTAGGGAGAGGGAAACTAGCCAACGGGAATCTGGAGGAAATGTCATGAGGCTGGTGGTTGTTGTAGGTTAGATTCAGAGGTGGGTTTCAGCAGGTTCTGACCAGTTCTGACAAACCGGTAGTGGAAATTTTGAGTAGTTCAGAGAACCGGTAGTAAAAATGCTGACTGGCCCCGCCCCCATCTATTCTCACGAGTCCCAGCTGATCAGGAAGAAATGGGGATTTTACAGTATCTTTCCCCTGCCACGCCCACCAAGCCATGCCCACCAAGCCAGCCACGCCCACCAAGCCACACCCACAGAACCAGTAGTAGAAAATTTAACCACTGGTTAGATTGGGAGATTTATGCTGGTCGTTCTCACTTAGCAATCCCAATTGCTATCAGTGATTTGGTGACTAAGCATTATGGTCGTTAAACAAAACATCATGTGACCACAATGGGTTTATAACCTTGCTTCTTCTCTGGTCATTAAGCGAATATACCAACAATCATTAAGTGGGACCTTTATGATTCATTTAACAACAGCAATGATTCACTTAATGACTGTGGCAAATGGGATGTAAAAATGGGGCCAAGCTCCCTTGACAACTGCCTTGCTTAACATCCGGGGTGGAGGTGGAGCTTCAAAATTGATAATACAGGTTGTCCTGGACTTACGGCCAAAATTGAGCCCAAAATTTCTGTTGCTAAGTGAGACATTTGTTAAGTGAGTTTTGCCCCATTTTATGACCTTTCTTGTCACAGTTGTTAAATGAATCATCATCACAGTTGTTAAGTTAGTTAACAGGGTTGTTAAGTGAATCTGGCTTCCCCCTTGACTTTGGTTGTCAGAAGGTCGCAAAAGGGGATTGTATGACCCAGGACATTATGACCGTCATAAATATGAGCCAGTTGTCAAGCATCCGAATGTAATCACATGACGGTCATAAGTGTGAAAAATGGTTATAGGTCACTTTTTCAGTGCCATTGTAACTTCAAATGGTCCCTGAATGAACTGTTGTAAATTGAGGACTACCTGTACAAACCCAGTACGAGTCAGTTGCCAAGCATCTGACTGTGGATCACATGACCACCGTCATAACAGGGGTGGGTTCTAAATTTTTTTACTACCGGTTCTGTGGGTGTGGCTTATTTTGTGGGTGTGGCTTGGAGGTCATGTGACTAGGTGGGCGTGGCTAGCTGGTTAGAGTCATTTCTGGAAGGTCCTCGCACTTACGACCAGTCCTCGCACTTACGACCCGACTCATTTGTTCGCTTTTAACACTGATCAGCTGTAGGGCGGCCCTTTGAAGCCCCATGGCAAGAGTTTAAACAGTTTTTTTCCCTCTAGTCATCAGCTGGGACTCAGGAGGCAGCAATAGATTGAGGGTGGGACCAAATAAAAGGTAAGAATAACGTGGGTGGGTGGGGGTGGGTGGGAGGGCAGGGGGGGAGAACCGGTTCGGTCATATCGTCACCGCTACCGGCTTGGCCGAACCGGACCGAACTGGGAGGAACCCACCACTGCGTCATAATCTTTTAACAATCCCATAATCCCTTGCGGGGTGGAGTCAAGGCAACTGAATGAAGCTAGCAGAGTGTTTACTGGCCGGATGCCCTTCCTGTTGCCAATGAGGAGTTTTGCTCAGTAGATATATTCTCATTGTGCCCAGAGAGAGAAAGAAATATCTGCCTCTGCCTAGGATCGAACTCACAGCCTCCTGATTGTGAGGCGAGAGCTCCACCTCTAGGCCACCGCACCGCTCCTTGATCACGTGACCACAGGGAGGCCTAAAAGGTCGTAAGTGCGAAAAAACCCGTCACGCCACTTTTTCTCAGTGCCGTTGTAACTTTGAACCGTCACTGAACAAACTGTTGTAAGTCGAGGGCTTTCGGTATATTTATCTTTTGGGAAGTCTGCTTCGAAGGGTTGCTAAGCAACCGGTCGTAAGTCGAGGACTGCCTGCGCTTCAAAATGAGCAAGTGCTTGTATTTAGACTGGAGGACTACGTCAGTGCTCTGCGGTTTATTTCCTGGAGCATTTAATTGTAGAGAAGGCAAGATAACAGCTTCAACGGGGGGTGTTATTGATTTGACATCTGCTAATGATCTGATGGGCAGAGAAAGACACTTCTTTTGAAAATGAGGAACTCAAGCTAAGTTTATGGGCAGTCCTTCACTTACAACAGTTCCATTTAGTGACCGAAGTTACACCGGCACTGAAAAAAAAAGTGATTTATTTTTCACACTTATGACTGTTGCAGCATCCCCAGGATCGTGTGGTCAAAACTCAGGACTGTTGGCAACTGGTTCGTATTTATGACGGTTGCCGTCTCCCGGGATCTCATGTGATCCCCTTTTACAACCTTCTGACGGGCAGAGTCAATGGGGAAGCCAGCTTCACTTAACAACTGCATTCTTACAGGTAGTCCTCGACTTACGACCACAATGGAGCCCAACATTTCTTTCGTTAAGCGGGACATTTTTTTCAGTGAGCTTTGCCCCGTTTTACGACCTTTCTTGCCACAGTTGTTAAGTGAATCACTGCAGTTTCATAAGTGAGTCACACGGTTGTTAAGTGAATCTGGGTTCCCCCTCGACTTTGCTTGCCGGAAGGTCGCGAAAAAGGGATTTGCGTGACCTGGAGACACTGCGAACGTCATAAATGCGAGCCAGTGGCCAAGCATCTGAATTTTGATCGCGTGATCATGGGGATGTTACAAAGGTTGTAAGCAGGGGTGAAATCCAAAATTTTTCCCTACCGGTTCTTTGGCGTGGCTTGGAGGGCATGGCAGGGGAAGGATATTGCAAAATCTCCATTCCCACCCCACTCCAGGGGAAGGATACTGCAAAATCTCTATTCCCTTCCCTCCTGGGGGAAGGATATTGCAAAATCTCCATTCCTACCCCACTCTGGGGCCAGCCAGAGGTGGTGTTTCCCGGTTCTCTGAACTACTCAAAATTTCCGCTACCGGTTCTCCAGAACCTGTTAGAATCTGCTGGATTTCACCCCTGGTCATAAGTGTGAAAAATGGGCATAGGTCACTTTTTTCAGTGCGGTTGTAACTTTGAATGGTCACTAAGTGAACGGTTCTAAGTCGAGGACTACCTGTAATTTAATAAATGCAGTCATTCGCTTTACACCTGGTGCAAGGAAGATCCTAGAATGGAGCAAAACTCCCTTAACAAATGTCTCTGTCAGCGTCCCAGCACTGACATATATAAAGAGAGGAGAAGTTTGAACTTTTGCCTACTAAATCCTTTTGAAGATTCTGTCTCCTCGGAGATGGGAGAGGGGGGAGACATTCCTGTGATCTGACGAAGAAGAGATCAGGAAAGTGACTTGGAAGATAGCCAATGAGAAGCAGAGAATTGGGGATCGGAAAGGGAGGGATTGGGGGGCAAAGGTCAGTACTGACCGCAAAAGAGCCAGGATCAGATCACTGTGCTCAAATAAGGAGAAAATTTCCTTAATGATCGACAGTTTGGAAATTCATTTAGTTTGAGATAGCATTGAAACCTGACAGTCTTGTTTAGCGACAGAAGTGTTAGGGGCTTGACTACGGTTGTACGCCCATACCGAACCCACCAAAAACTCTTCTGGACCTCCGTTCTTACCTAAGCAGGAGAGACAGGTGAGAAGAACCACGATCCACGCTAGCGTGAGGGACATCCTGAAGCTCACAGCGCACGGCAGCTGCAAAGAGATGACAATGGCAGGCATTTAAAATCCCTCTTCTCTTTTATTCCCCCTTTTATGAAAACCAAATCGGTGTGCCTGAGGCACATTTTAAATTATGCAGGTACACGCTTCGAGCGAACTCCCCCTGCTCGGTCGCTCCACAAAGCTGGCAACCAGGAAGAGATGACTTAGAGAGCGAGAAGGATTCAGCTGTTGCTTTTTGGCTCCATTGAATTAAGAAAGAGGGCTGTGAAAAGGGATAATCGCCTGGGATGGACATATGATACAGAAGGATCTTGACAGACTTGAATATCGGGCCCCCTCTAACAAAATGAAATTCAACGGTTGAAAATAGAAAAGTTCTGCATTTAGGCAAGGAAAATAAAAATGCACCTTTTTATCAGGTTCGCCTGATCTCCCAGTTGCGTCCCTTTCTGGATCGGGACACCCTGCGCACGGTCACTCACGCCCTCGTCACTTCCCGGCTGGACTATTGTAATGCTCTCTACATGGGGCTCCCCTTGAGGAGCACCCGGAGGCTCCAGCTGGTCCAGAATGCAGCCGCGCGAGTAATAATGGGGCCGACTCGTCGCTCCCATGTAACATCCATCTTGCGCGAGCTGCACTGGCTCCCGGTGGTCTTCCGGGTGCGCTTCAAGGTGTTGGTTAACCCCTTTAAAGCACTCCATGGCTTAGGACCTGGTTATCTAGAGGACCGCATTCTGCCACCGATTGCCTCCCACCGACCAATACGCTCCCACAGAGAGGGCCTCCTCAGGATGCCGTCGGCCAAACAATGTAGGCTGGCGACCCCCAGGGGGAGAGTCTTCTCTGTGGGGGCCCCGGCCCTATGGAATGAACTGCCCCCGGACATACGAAGGATCCCCGACCTCCGCGCCTTCCGTCGCGCTCTGAAGACCCTATTATTCCAGCAAGCTGGTCTGACAGGATAAAGGTTTTTTAAATTGGGTTTTGATAGGGGTTTTAAAATGATCTTAGTTGAATGTTTTAAATTTGGCCGAATGATTGAATTATTTTAATAAGCTTTTAATTTTTGTTGTATATTGTTTTTACCATGGCTGTTCACTGCCCTGAGTCCCTCGGGAGAAGGGCGGTATATAAATATAATAAACTAACTAACTAACTAACTAACTAACAGTCTAGGTGGAACCTCGCTCAATAGTAGTAACTGTGAGGGGGATCTTGGAGTCCTAGTGGACAACCATTTAAATATGGAAAAGTTTTTCAGTTTTATTTCTTATACACATAATATAAAATGTACATTTTCTTATACATAATTAATCCTACATATACATGTTTTCCTTAAAGAAAGCATTAAAATAAGGCATTTTAATTACATTCGGAGTTACTCTTCTACTCTTTCTTCCCTCATTTTGCAACAACCCTTCTTCTTCTTTTCCTCTTTTCCTTCCCTCCCTCCTCTCCTCTCCTGCTTTCTCTTCCCTCCTCTCCTACCTCATCCTACTTCCCCTTCCTATCCCCCACTCCTGTCTTCTTTTCCCCCTACTCACCTTCTCTCCTACTCCTATCCCCTACCCTTCCTTCCTCTCCTTTTCCCTTTCTTCCATTCGACAACCATTTAGATAAGAGCCAGCCGTGTGCAGCAGCTGCCAAAAAAGCCAACACAGTTCTAGGCTGCATCAGCAGAGGGATAGAATCAAGACCACGTGAAGTCTTAATACCAGGGGTGAAATCCAGCAGGTTCTGACAGGTTCTGAAGAACCGGTAGCGAAAATTTTGAGTAGTTTGGAGAACTGGTAAATACCACCTGGGTGGAAATGGAGATTTTGCAGTATCCTTCCCCTGCCACATCGACCAAGCCATGCCCACCAAGCCATACCACACAGAACCAGTAGTAAAAATATTTGAATTTCACCACTGCTTAATACTATTTTATAATGCCTTGGTAAGGCCACACTTGGAATCCTGCATCCAGTTTTGGTCGCCACGATGTAAAAAAAGTTTTGAGACTCTAGAAGGAGTGCAGAGAAGAGCAGCAAAGATGATTAGGGGACTGGAGGCTAAAACATATAAAGAACGGTTGCTGGAATTGGGTATGTCTAGTTTAATGGAAAAAAGGACTAGGAGTGGGTGGCTGGGGAATTCTGGGAGTTGAAGTCCACCCATCTTAAAGCTGCAGAGGTTGAAAAACACTGATCTAATTGCTGTCATTAGGTTAGATTAGAAAGGGGGGTATTTATTAAAATACCCCTTGAAGAGAGGATGCCATCTCAAGAAAGATTACATAATCGTCTGATTTCAAGGTCCCACAGGATTATTGGACTATGTAAATGGGTATTCCTCAATTTACGACCACAATTTTCCCTAAAATTTCCATTGCTAAAGAAGTTAATGGTTGAGTTTCGCACCATTTTTTGGGCCAAAGTTGTTAAGCAAATTGCTGCAGTTGTTAAACGAATCATGCAGTTATTCACTGAATCTGGCTACACCTCCCCCTCCCCCCCTGGAGTTTGCTTGTCCGGAGCTGCCTGGGAAGGTTACAAAATAGTGATCGCATTTTTTTTTTATTTATTAATTCAACTTATATACCGCCCTTCTCCCCAGGGGGACTCAGGGCGGTGACCCTGAGGATAATGCAATTGTCCTAAATACCTTCTAGTTGCAAATTTTATTGTGTGATTGTGGGGATGCTGTAAAACTGGTCATCGGTCATTTTTTATCTGTGCTTTTGAAACTTCGAATGGTCACTAAACGAACTGTTGTAAGTCAAGGACTAACTATAAGGACTAACTCTACTTCTGATTGTTTGTGTATCAAAATGCAAAGAGGAAAGCATGATGACATGAATGATGATGATGGAGATATTGATTGGGTTTCTACACCATGTTAAGGATCAAACCCAGGTTATCAAAGCCCAAGAAACTTTATGTATCCATCCATCCATCCATCCATCCATCCATCCATCCATCCATCCATCCATCTCTCTAATCTATCCATGCAAATATTTTATTTCTGTTTCTGTATCTCTCTATCTTCTATCTACTTTGTATATCCACCCACATCTACCATATTTCCCTGAAAATAAGACCCTGTCTTATATTTTTTTGAACCCCGAAATAAGAGCTTGGCCTTATTTTCGGGGAGGTCTTATTATTTTGGGGCCCATGGAGCAAGACAGGGATCATCTTGCTGTCTTATCTGATTTCCAGCTCTGTCTCCCTAACTAACCAGAGGAAATGGCGGGGACTGGCTGCACATTTATTTATTTTATTTTATTTTATTTATTTTGTCGAGTAATATTTAATATTAAATATTTTCGGGAAGGGCTTATTATCCAGGGAGGTCTTATTTTTGGGGAAACACGGTAATCTATCCATCCATTTATCTTTCTCTCTCTCTTTCTTTCTTTCTCTCTCTCTCTCTCTCTCTCTCTCCCTCTATTTATCCTTCTCTTTTTCTCTTTCTCTCTCTCTAATCTGTCTATCTATCCCTCTATCTCTCACTATCTATCCCTGTGATGGCACGCAGAGCCCTCTCTGCTGGTATGCGCATCATCGTCCCAGGTCAAATCTTTGTGGCGTTCGTTTCGTGAGCTTCTGTTTCCCTGAAAACGACGAAACAGAAGTTCATGAAAGAAAAAGATCTTACCTCTTGCTAGGCTGCCAGTGTTGGGATGCCCCGCCTCCCACCGGCCAGCTGTTCTTTGGGTCTCTGCTGCGCATGTGTACATATTTGCGCATGCGTGCTTGCATGATTGCGCGTGCGCATGTCTGCGCACGCACACACCTTTCAGTTTGGGCAGGTGTGCGCGCGCAGTTCGGGCATTTGGTGTCTAAAAGATTCGCCATCACTGATCTATCCTATATCTACTTTAAAATCCATCCATCCATCCATCCATCCATCCATCCATCCGTCCGTCCAATCTATCCATTCCTCCAATATTCTCTCTTTCTCTCTTTCTGTTTCTCATCTTCTTCCCCAATCTTCAAAGTAAGTGCTTTAATTACTTTTTGGTAAAGAAACATTAATTTAATTACTTTGGTAAAGGAAAGGGCTTTGGGATGTCCAGGTGAAATTCCAATCAGCCATCCTGAAAACTTGTCCTGGTGTACTGATGGAATGGCTCCTGCTTGGCGACGGTCAGCAAGCCACCTTGTTTTATTATTATTATTATTATTATTATTATTATTATTATTATTATTATTTAATCTTTAGTGAGATTCACAGACTTTGAGGCTGGTTAATAGCTCAGCAGCTCGAGTCCTAACCAAGGACCTAGGAACTGTTAAGGTATCGTCGGAGGATGTAAGCTGTTCCGAGTAAGGTGGTTTTTTGTAGAGTCAAAATGTTCAAGCCCGGCAAATTTAGAATTTCTAAATAGTGGGGTAACCCTTTGGGTATTGCTCCAAGGACTCCAATTACAATCGGGACAACACACGATTTCTTTTTCCACAGTCGCTCAACTTCAATTTGCAAGTCCCGGTACTTTGTGATTTTTTCTTGCTGCTTATCTTCAATCCGTGCATCACCAGGTATTGCAATGTCAATGAACCATATTTTTTTCTTTTCAACTATTGTTATGTCAGGTGTGTTGTGGACCAAGTGCCTGTCAGTCTGAATCCTAAAGTCCCTAAAATCCTAAAATCCTAAAGTCCCACAAGATCTTGAGTTTCTCATTCTCTAAAACTTTCTCAACCTGATGTTCCCAGTGGTGGTATTATTATTATTATTATTATTATTATTATTATTATTATTATTTCATTTATTAAATTTATATGCCGCCCATCTCACTGCGAAGCACTCTTTAGGCTCATTATTGATGTTACCTAGTTTGGGTCATGAAACGGCTGCAAGAAAACCACCAAGCTTGGAGACCCCGAATTTCAACCCACAGCTACAAATATTCTCCTTTATTGATACATTTCACCTCTGAGATTGCCTCTGTGTCTCACACTGGCTGAGTATCTTCCTATCCTTATTTTTGGATACCCACCTGCTTCTCTCCCCTCCTTCTTCCCTGCCTGTCTTCTATCCCCTTAAACGTTTTCATCGGAGTAAAAAAAAAAAATTCGAAAAAACAACAACAAATAGACAATTTTTCACTTCCTGCAAATCTGCCTACTTTCCTGAGAGCTGAATTTCCAGACAGTCAAAGAACTGGATGGTCCTGTTCGCCTTGGTTGTTCTGGAGGGCAAAGCTAGAGTTGAACGTTTCAGGGCAACTAAGATTTTATGAGAAATAGAATAGAATAGAATAGAATAGAATAGAATAGAATAGAATGGAATGGAATGGAATGGAATGGAATGGAATGGAATGGAATGGAATATGGAATATGGAATATGGAATATGGAATATGGAATATGGAATATGGAATAGGATAGGGTAGTGTAGAGTAGAATGGAATGGAATATGGAATAGGATGGAATATGGAGAATAGAATAAAATAGAATATTGAATAGATTAGAAGAGAAGAGAATATAAAATTAATTATTAATTAGAATTGGAATTGGAATTGGAATTGGAATTGGAATTGGAATTGGAATAGAATAGAATAGAATAGAATAGAATAGAATAGAATAGAACAGAACAGAACAGAACAGAACAGAACAGAACAGAATAACAGAGTTGGAAGGGATCTTCGAGGTCTTCTAACTTCTGGAGGCAAGTTGTTCCAGTGATTAATGGTTCTAACTGTCAGGAAATTTCTCCTTAGTTCTAAGTTGCTTCTCTCCTTGATTAGTTTCCACCCATTGCTTCTTGTCCTTTGACCAGTGGTGTGATTCAAATAATTTAACAACCAGTCCTCTGCCCTAATAATTTCTTCCAACAACCAGTTCACGAAACTGCTCAGAAAGTTAACAACTGGTTCTCCCGAAGTGGTGCGAACCGGCTGAATCCCACCACCGGCTTTGACTCCCTCTTCTTTGTGGCAGCCCCTGAGACATCGGAACACTGCTATCATGTCACCTCTAGTCCTTCTTTTCATTAAGCTAGACATTAAATGAGACGCTAAACTAAACAGTTAGTTGTATCTCGCCTTTATTATTTTTACAAACAGCTCAAGGCAGCGAATATATCTAAACATAGCTTCCCTCTCCTATTTTCCACACCACAACAACCCTGTGAGGTCGGTTGGCCTGAGAGAAGGAGAGGGACTGGCCCATAGCGGTCATTTAAGAACAGGAGTTTGGACACAAACTGTGCAATTGAAAGATTTCAGCCTTGAATAGGTAAAGGTTCCCCTCACACATATAGTCGTTCCCAACTCTAGGGGGCGGTGCTCATTTATGTTTCAAAGCCGAAGAACCAGCACTGTCCAAAGACGTCTCCGTGGTCCTGTGGCCGACATGACTAAACGCCAAAGGCACATGGAACGCTGTTACCTTCCCACCAAAGGTGGTCCCTATTTTTCTACTTGCATTTTTTACGTGCTTTCGAACTGCTAGGTTGGCAGAAGCTGGGACGAGTCACGGGAGCTCACCCCGTTATGTGGCACTAGGGATTCGAACCGCTGAACTGCCGACCTTTCGATCGACAAGCTCAGCGTCTTAGCCACTGAGCCACCACGTTGAATAACTGCCCTCTAATGCATCCTTCTAAGGCAGAGCTGTATTCCCCATATTGGCTGGGGAATTCTGGGAGTTGAAGTCCACCTGTCTTAAAGTTACTGAAAGTTGGATACCTCCTGCTCTAAAGCTACTATTCTCTCAATGAGAATGAATTTTTTTAAAAATAGAAATAGGTGTTTTGACCGCAGATTCTTACACCCTCATCCATTCCTGATTAAAACCCCTTTCTCTTCATTGCCAAAGGAGAGTTGTTTTAATCTACAGTGGTGCCCCAAAAGAACCAGGAGATGTCCGATAGCACCTTTTTCTGCTTAAACCGATTTTATCCCAAAGCAGAAACTTTTATGATCTGGAGCTCCCCATATCAGATGCATTTCTCTTCTCTCAATTCTTCTCTCCATCTAACAGACTCTTTGCTTCTTTTAACAACATTCTTCATGGGGGAAAAAAAAACCAACCCTCACATTCTTTGTCTCTATGGCCCCACGTGCAGGACATTAACCGGTGGGTTTGGAAAGTGTCAGGAGGGATTGTAAGAGAGCGGTTGGTTTATGACTGCAAATACGGCCTTGGCCAGCTCTTCAAAACAGGAGTTTGGTGAAGTCTTGTCTGTCGCATCCCTCAGCCCTTGAACCCCCAGCCCCACCTCTTCGCTCAGGACCTAAAAAAAAATGGGCCATAGCAATTAATCTCCCTGTTGCTCTCCGACGTCAGAAAAAGCCTTATCAGTCCCTTCTGCAGCTTCTAACTCGGTCCTGCTGTTCCTTCTCTGCTAAATGACACTTTGAAAGACTGGTACTTACCTCTGAGCGAAGCTGTGGCTGCCGCCGTTTTGGGAACTCATCGCTTCTCGCACACCGATGCAAATGGGGCGTGCTGGGTTTCTAGACAAAAGGCAAGCAACAGGGAAACAAAAATCATCAGGACTTTCTGCTTTCATTCTGGACGTTGGAGATCTCGGCGTTTCTTGCCAGCCACAGAAATGTATGCGGTCGCTCTGCTTTTGAAAAGAGTCCCCCAAAAAACCCTCTAACTGGTTCTAGAATAAAGGGCCCTCCCTCCCTTGAGTTAAAAGAGAGAGAGAATGAGAGAGGAAGAGAGAAAGAGGAACATACAGAGAGAGAGAGAGAGAAAGAGGAAAAAAAAGTGGGAGAGATAAAGAAAGAGAGAGAGAAAGAGAGAGAGAGAGAAAGAAGAGGAGAGAGAAAAAGAAAAAGAGGAAGAGAAAAAGAAAGAGATACAGAGAAAGGGAGAGAGAAAGTGAGAGAAAGACAAAAACAGAGAGAGAGATGTTTGTGTGTGTGAGAGAGAGAGAGAAGAAAAGAGAAAACCAAGAGAGAAAGAGAGAAAGAAAGAGAGAAAGAGAAAGTGAGAGAAAGAAAGAGAGAGAGAGAGAAAAACACAGAGAGAGATGTTTGTGTGTGTGAGAGAGAGAGAAGAAAAGAGAAAACCAAGAGAGAAAGGGAGAGAGAAAGTGAGAGAAAGAGAAAGAGACAAAAACAGAGAGAGAGATGCATGTGAGTGAGAGAGAGAGAGAAGGAAAGAGAAAAACAAGAGAGAAAGAGAGAAAGGTCTCAACCCTAGCATAAAATCCACTTCCTTACTGGTCAAGACAGAAAGCTCACTTTCAAACTGGAAACTGGAGGTCCATCTCATATAGATAAAAGCTGAGAAGCCTCCAGAGGCTGAGAGAAACAGGTGAGGAGGGAGAGCAAAGCTTTGTACAAGCTGCCTGTTATGAAGGGGTGTGGCCTATGCTCCCTGGCCAATCAGCAGAAAGCCCCAGGGAGGAGTCTGAAGAGTCCAGCCTGAAGATGCCAGAGGAGAAAATGGGACAACCTGCGAGGTTGGGACTGGACTTCAGGACACCTAATGGGTTTTCTTAATATTATTTACCTTTCTTATTATGTCAACAAATCAAGTCAGGTTTCTTCCTCAAAGCACTGATGACCAGGTTCAAATGATCCGACTTTGGACACACGGTGTGAAGACTCATCTCTCTGAAAAAGGTTCTGAGGCTGGGAAAGATGGAAGAGAAGAGAAGGGAAAATAAGGGAAGAGAAGACTAGGGAAGGGAAGGGAAGAGAAGAGAAGGCAGGGGAGGGCAGGAGAAGAGAGAGGAGGGGAGGGGAAAAGAGAGGGGAGGAGGGGAGGGGAAGGGAGAGGAGAAGAAAAGGGAGAGGAGAGGAAAGGAGAGAAGGCAGGAGAGGAGGGGAGGGAGAGAGGAGGGAGAGAGGAGAGGAGAGGAAGAGAAGAGAAGAGAAGAGAAGAGAAGAGAAGAGAAGAGAAGAGAAGAAGAGCCTTGGTGGCGCAGCAGACTAAAGTGCTGTTAAGTAGCACCAGCTGCCTGCAATTACTGCAAGTTCAAATCTCACCAGACTCAAGGTTGACTCAGCCTTCCATCCTTTCGAGGTAGGTAAAATGAGGACCCGGATTGTGGGGGCAATAAGCTGACTTTGTATAAAAAAAGAACACCGCTTAGGGGGGCCCGAAAGCCCTAAGTACAAAAGTATGAAGGCTATTGCTTAACGCATCGTAAGCCGCCCTGAGTCTCCGGAGAAGGGAGGCATATAAATTGAACCAATAAGAGAAATAAAGAGAAGAGAGAGAGAAGAGAAGAGAAGAGAGAGAAGAGAAGAGAAGAGAAGAGAAGAGAAGAGAAGAGAAGAGAAGAGAAGAGGAGGGACTGCTTCACTCCTTCATAAGTTTCCATCCGTTGCTTCTTGTCCTGCCTTCAGGTGCTTTGGAGAATAGCTTGACCCCCTTCTTCTTTTTGGCAGCCCCTCAAATATTGGAACATTTTTCTCAGCACTGTCATAAATCTGAACCATCCTTTAATGAATGGCCATATGTTGAGACTTCCTGTGTCTATCCCAGCAGTCTGCTTTGCAAACAGCTATTCTACCCTCGGTGGAATCTATCTTGCTCTTCCCCGCTTCCAGTTTGGGGGCAATGAGAAAGGGGTTGTCCTGCCCAATATTGGCTTTTGCTCTGCCCACTTCCAGTGTACCATGTTTTTGGAGGCAAGTCGTTCCACCGATTAATTGTCCTCAGTGTCAGGAAATTTCTCCTTGGTTCTAGGTTGCTTCTCTCCTTGATTAGTTTCCATTCATTCCTTCTTGACCTACCCTCAGGTGCTTGGAGAAGATGTTGTACCCCTCTTCTCTGTGACAGTCCCTCAAATATTGGAAGGTTGCTATGGTGTCAGCCCTTGTTCTTCTCTTCATTAGATTAGACCAGGGGTCTGCAACCTTAAACACTCAAAGAGCCATTTGGACCCGTTTCCCACAGAAAAGAAAACACCGGGAGCCACAAAACCCTTCCCGTGCCTGACTATTTCTTGAGCGGCCACAAAACTAGCATATGTAGTTGAATTAAACGTTCTGTTTTCTTCTGAAACTTTTCTTTTCTTGGATTTATCCATGGTTGGCCTATCGGGGGTCGAAAAGCTCAATACATTGCATGTCCAGAATGCGGCCGCGCGGGTGGTTATGGGCGCAACTCGTTGTGCCCACGTGACACCCCTCCTGTGCGAGCAGCACTGGCTCCAGGTGGTCTTCTGGGTGCGATTCAAGGTGTTGGTTACCACCTTTAAAGCGCTCCATGGCATAGGACCCGGGTACCTTCGAGACCGTCTTCTGCCACCAATAGCCTCCCACTGACCAGTCCGCTCCCACAGAGAGGGTCTCCTCAGGGTGTCATCGGCCAAGTTATGTCAGCTGGCGACACCCAGGGGGAGGGCCTTCTCTGTGGGAGCCCCAGCCCTGTGGAACGAACTGCCCCCGGAAATTCGTAAGATCTCCGACCTCCAGGTGTTCTGCTGCACACTCAAGACCCTGTTGTTCCGCCAGGCCGGACTATCAACACAATAGTTTTAAATTGGGGTATTTTAAATTTCTGGGGTTTTAATTGAGCCAAATTTATTTAATCATTTTAAATTTTAATTGCTGTTTTGTCTTGTGTTTTTAAATAGGCTGTATACCGCCCTGAGTCCTTTGGGAGAAGGGCGGTATAGAAATAAAATGATGATGATGATGATGATGATGATGATGATGATGATGATGATGATGTTGGTGGGTGTCGCACATTGGTGGTTGCGATGCATATTTTGAATGACAGCCGCAGCAGAGGGGTGAAAGAGCCACATGCAGCTCCAGAGCTGCAGGTTGCTGAATCCTGAATTAGACATATCCAGTTCCTGCAACCGTTCGTCATACGTTTTAGCCTCTGAACTTCTGATCATCTTGGTTGCTCTTCTCTGCACTCTTTCTAGGGTAGGGGTGTCAAACTCAAGGCCTGCGGGCCGGATCTGGCCCATGAGGTGCTTAGATCTGGCCCACAGAGCCAGCCTGGAAACAGCAAAGGAACGGCCTGCGGTGCCTCTGCCAGCGAAAATGGAGCTCAGGGAGGCTGCGTGTGCCCCTCCCCCAGCTTCATTTTGAGCATGCAAGAAGGGACAGGAAAGGAGAAAGGGATGGGAAGAGAGCAAGGAAAGAAAAATAAGGAAAGAGTGGAAGGAAGAAGAAAGGAGAATGAAGAGGGAAGGAAAAAGAAGAGAAGAGAAGAGAAGAGAAGAGAAGAGAAGAGAAGAGAAGGAAGGAAGGAAGAAAGATGGGAAGAGAGCAAGGAAGGTAAAATAAGGAAAGAGTCGAAGGAAGAAGAAAGGAGAATGAAGAGGGAAGGAAAAAGAAGAGAAGAGAAGAAGAGAAGAGAAGAGAAGAGAAGAGAAGAGAAGAGAAGAGAAGAGAAGAGAAGGAAGGAAGGAAGATGGGAAGAGAGCAAGGAAGGTAAAATAAGGAAAGAGTGGAAGGAAGAAGAAAGGAGAATGAAGAGGGAAGGAAAAAGAAGAGAAGACAAGAGAAGAGAGAAGAGAAGAGAAGAGAAGAGAAGGAAGGAAGGAGATTATAATGAGAGTGAGGGAGGGTCTCAGGGAAGTCTTGCCTTAGTACTTGGCCACCACAGGTGGCCCCGAGTCCTGTGTCATGCCCACCCACCCACGCCCACCTAGCCACCCGAGGTCAAACACAACCCCGAGGCGGCCCTCAATGAAATTGAGTTTCACACTCCTGTTTCTGGGTCTCAACGTCTTTTTTGCATTGTGGTGACCAGAACTGGATGCAGTATTCCAACGGTGGCCTCACAATGTGAAAGGTGCCATCATGTCATGCTATTATCACTTCACATTAAGCCCTGGCTGACTGAAGACTCAGTCCTTCGTGGGACTGAAACTGTGATCCGGCAATCTGAAGTCTAGAGATAAATTGGGATCCTGTGCAGAAGATAAAAGAGGATTAAAAGAGCCTTGATAGTACAGTGGTCTAAGCACCCTGTTATTAACATTCAGCTGCCTGCAATTACTGCAGGTTTGAATCTTACCAGGCTCAAGGTTGACTCAGCCTTCCATCCTTTCTAAGGTAGGTGAAATGAGGACCCAGTTTGTGGGGGCAATAAGCTGACTTTGTATAAAATATACAAAAAAAGTATGAAGGCTATTGCTTAACACATTGTAAGCCGCCCTGAGTCTCCGGAGAAGGGCGGCATATAAATCAAATTAAATATATATATATATATATTAAAGAGCCGAGAAGCGTTCAAGAGATCTCAATGTTCAGTCATAAGAAGAAGCTACTTTGGATCTCGATACGTTGGGCCTGCAGGAGAGATGACTGACAAGACATAGAGGAGCTGGTTTTGATTTACTTTAAATATAAGGAAAAGCTTTCTGTTGGAAAGAGGTGAATATCCATGAAAGATTCGACATCTAGAGGTTGTAAATTGCTCGCCTTTGGAGATTTTTAAGAGGCTGGGCAGTTTAATATTCAGAATGGCTGAAATTCCAACTTCAGTCTGGCATTATTTACCAGATCTGGCACCTACCGGGTTGGATTTAGGTCCAATAATCTCTAAACCAGTGTTTTTCAACCTTGGCAACTTTAAATTCTGTGGACTTCAATTCCCAGAATTTTCCAGCCAGCCATGATTTTAAAGTTCCCAAGGTTGAAAAACTCTGGTATAAACAGCCACCTAATAGCAAGATAATAAGAGCACAGCTTGGCCAAGTGGTTAAGGCACCAGGGTAGAACCTGGGAGGCTGGGAGTTCTAGTCCCACCTTAGCCATGAAAGCCAGCTGGGTGACTTTGGGCCAATCACCGGGAGACGGTGAGTTCTCGTCCCACCTTAGGCACGAAAGCCAGTTGGGCAGTGGTGAAATGTAATGGTTGCACTGGTTCAGGGGGAACTGGTAGTAATAAAATCTACCGGTTCGGCGAACTGGTAGTAAAAAAAAAAAAGCTACCGGCTGATCCGAACTGGTATTTCCAACGATCAGCTGTGCCGCGTGATTTATAAATTGTGCGGCACAGCTGTTCCCCCCCTTGCTGTTCTACTTACCTTCAAATGGTTTCTTTTTCTGCGCAAAGCGCACATTTGGTATGCACTACGCATGTGCACAGTGTGTGTTCACTGTACATGCATGTGCAGGGTGCACTTGGTGCGCACTGCACATGCGTGCACGTGACCGTTGATGACCAGTGGAGGATTTCACCACTGCAGTTGGGTGACTTTGGGCTAATCACCAGGAGACAGTGAATTATAGTCCTACCTTAACTTTAGGCATAAAAGCTGGGTGACTTTGAGCCAGTAACTCTCTTTCAATCTAATCCACCTCACAGGATT